TCGGCCATGAAACGGCCAGACGACTTTATCGGCGTGGTCTTCAACAGCCAGGACAGCATCTGGACGGAGCGTTGCGCGAGCATCATCAAGGATCGATAGGGTTATACAAATACAATAAATAGGCGCATAAAGGAAGGGAAGGGAGATGATGGGAATTGAGTAGGAGATGCAGATGCTTTGGGTTTTCTTCCAATTTCGGTGGGCGAATCCGATGGGAGCCAGGTGACCGCTTAAGCGCGTTACAACCTAAAGCCTTAAGGATGCATAGCCCCAAGTTAATTACTGGGACAAAATATAAAGAGAGAAGGTCTAGGAGGGGAGGAGGGTCCGCAGTGGTTTTCATAGCCATCACCTATACCTCTAGCCTCGGCTTTCGTCTCATCTCAGGCGTTGGGGTCAGATCGGAATACCTATGCTGGGTAGGCACATGAATACAACCAGGACCACAGCGAAGACCACCTTACCTTCGTCCAGGTGATGCGTTTCTCCACCAGCCTCTCTTGCTGAGCCATCACGCGGGGGACACGTCGACTGTCGTGTCGAAAGGTTGTGTATCTTGCCAACAGGACTATTGTCCTGAGGAAGGAGAGTATAAACGGGGATTGGAGATACGAGAGACCAAGATATAGTATATAATGTGAGGCTAGGCGGTTCCTTGCAGGAGAGGAAATTTCATGAGCCTGTTTCCAAGTATACGTAAGGTATCGCACTCTGATGGCTTAGAACTGAGAGTATAAACGAAATAAACCCTAAAACAAGGGATTTCTTGCCAACGGAGAGGCCTATGACAAAACGGACTGGATATTTGAGATCAGGGCAAAAGGTTGCACAGAAAAAAGCCGCAAAAGTTGCGACCCGCCCAGGACTCGAACCCGGATCTTCTCCTTAGCTAGAGGAGTGCTCGACCGATTAAGCTGATAGGCCCTCTACTGGGGATTCTATCTCTCACCGTTGTTATACTTGGCCTTTTCGACGTACGTCCAGCTCGGCGAGGGGACCCGGCGGGTCACAGAGCAAGCGAGGTGCACCGCGTCTCAATTGTGTAGCGCATGCTTATGGACGACGTTGTCGCATGCTTCCGAAGTGGGTATGGCCGAGATTACGCGGCCGCGGCGGCGGCACCGAGCGGGGTGGTACGACCGGTCGGGGCGGGGCGGCCGGTCGCGGACGACGTCAACCACACTCACCGCACAGCGCAAAAGAGGGAAGGGGGAAAAAAAGGAAACAAAAGGAAAGCTAACGACCCCACCTGGATCTTCTACGACTGTCGGTGTATAACTGTTGGTCTAACTCGTCCTGTCCCACCTATCACCCCCTGCCTAACCCTAACCCTAAACGCCTTCCCTGGTGCCTCTTAGGGTACAGGTCAAGGTTCGGCTTGTTCACTGCAATCTCAGATGAGTCGAGATGAAGGGCACCAGTTGCCAGAGCCATCACAGCTCCTCCTCGTTCCTGGACGGGCTAACCTTACGACTTGGGGTTTTGGACTATACTATAAGCAATCTCACTACGCTCCTTTAGAGACATAAACTAACGCTTTGAGTTTAGTCTTGAGTCTGCCAATCTCATAGGAAAGGGGCTAGATAGTTAGTTATTGGTGGTAGGATTTCCACGACACGAGCTGTTAGTGGAGGCGCTGACAGCTACCGTGAAGTTTGTTTTCGCGAGGATGCAGAACACTAAATAACCACCACGCTGCTTGGCTCTGTGTATATAGAGAACCCTCAGGAGCTGGATGGACTGGTCGTAGAGCTTGAGCATGTAGAAAAGCAAAAAGATGCTAAGGCTTATAGCGACTACAACTGCATACTGAAGTAATTCTAGCGCATAACTATTTCTCAAAGTCCTTGACCTAAGGCGAGGAGTTAGTTGACGGGATGGGGTAGTGTTAGGATTAAGAG